TATGTCAATGCATAAAGCAGCATTTGAAACAGAACAGTTCACATGGGGTGCACTACTAGTTGACATTAGGTAGCTTGTTACTGAATGCCCATTAATCACCAGCAACAGAGATCAAATACATTCAATGCAAGTGGTGACACTGACCTTCATATTTTTCCAGGGTTTGTATGACATTGGGCAGTTGGTTCACCGCCTGGTACAGCTTGTAGCAATCTTGTAGGTTTGCATTTTGTCTCTGGAATTTCTTTGCCATCCGGTTGAGATCTGGAAAACGACGTAGGAGATCTTCCTGAAGACTCTGCCTGAGCTCCAAATCAGTCACAAATGCCTCCACCAAGTTCAGCCTGAAGAATGTCAACTTATATCAGTGCATTGCAGGCAAGGACATAGGAAAACTGTCTACACCAGTAGTGTGCTCTACCACATGAAGAATATAATGCCAACTTTTTTTTGCTAGAACTTTATTAAAGTGACATTTCATTCAGTTATATTAGCTACAGAGTGATGCAATGGATTGTGTCTCACCATGCTGGGCTATAGGAAAGGTCATAGCAGTGAGCTATATACAATTGTGGCATGCTTGCTGCAAGTCAGCGGTCAATCTTAAACTACTGCATTCAGCCAGTAACAAATGAACTTTAAAGGGACCTGTACTTAGAATGCAAAGTCTGGTCAAACAGGAATTAATTTGCACATGTTAATGTGACATTAACCAATTCAATACCGGGCAATTTTACACCTTCCTGCCCAGGCCAGTTTTCAGGTTTCAGCGCTCTCACACTTTGAATGACAATTGCGCGGTCATACAACATTGTACCCAATTTAAAATTTTATCATTTTCTTCACACAACTAGAGCTTTTCTTTTGGTGGTATTTAATCACCGCTGGGGTTTTTATTTTTTGATAAATTAACAAAAAAAGACCAAAAATTTTGAAAAAAAAAGTTTTTCTTTGTTTCTGTTATAAAAGTTTGCAAATAAATAATTGTTCTTCATAAATTTAGGCCGAGATGTATTCTGCTACATGTCTGGTGAAAATAACCCAAATTAGGATGTATTTTTTAGTTTGTAGGAAAGTTATAGAGTTCACAATCTATGGGATATATATGAATATTGATCAATCCTGAAGTACTGACAGCCAATCTAATTTCTTGAGGTCCAAGAATGTCAGAACAGTACAGATATCCCCCAAATGACCCCTTTTTGCAAAGTAGACAGTCCGACGTACTTCATAAGAGGCATGGTGAGTTTTTTGAAGTTTTATTTTTTTTTGTCATAATTTTTCGGAAAATTAAAAAATTAAAAAAATTAGTTTCACTATTTTTTTTTACATATTGTCACCAGTGCAGTACAGCGTCATCATATAACTGGCATGGCGGAGATCAGGGACACTGACTGGTGACAGTATGAAAAAAAAAAAATTATATATTTTTTTTTATTTGTTTTATTATTTTTTATTAAATTTTTTTAAATTTTTTTTTAAGATTTTTTTTTCTTATTTCACTATGACCAAAGTAGTACAATGTTACCATATTAACATTGTACTACTTTGGGGAAGTGATCAGCATTTTTTTTTTTTTTTACACAATTTGCTTATAGCAAAGAATTACTTTGCTATAAAGCAAGCATTTACCTGAATGACATCGATTCATTCAGGGTTTCTTTTTTTTTTTTTTTTGTGATTAGCTGTGACCATTCACAGCTAGGCACTAGTACACAATGGATGGCATGAATGAAGCCATCCATTGTATACAACTGTCATGTGACCTGCTGTGATTGGTCACAGCAGGTCACATGGTACCGGCAACGGGGCCGATACTCAGATCTGTCATCGGCCGTGCCCGAGGTACACGGTCGGTGACAGGCTGCGCCGCTCTGCAGGAGCACAATCTGCGCATGTGCGGGAGGATGCCATATGGCATCCACCCGGAACGCTGATGACATTTGCCGCCCGCCATTCGGCCATAGGGCGGGCGGCAAATGGTTAACCAATTAAAAAAAAAACAACAATTACAAGCAACACAGCAAATCTGCATATGTGACATATGCCCTCCATGGTACTCTCATCAGCATTCTGCTATCAATAGAATGTCATCTGGGGTTAGGTTTAAGACCCCTTTCACATGAAAAAGAAAAAAGAAAAAAGGTTGGATTGGGAGGTAGGCGGGTGAAAATGGACACAAGTTTACTCCCGCCGGTCCATAGGGTAAATTGAGAGTCCAATCAGGTCTGCCAGTTTCTCAGACAGACCTGATTGGACTCCCAATTCACACTATGGACCGGCGGGAGTAAACTTGTGTCCATTTTCACCTACATACCTCCAATCCAATCTGGTCCGCTAAAAAGGGATTTAAATTGGAGGGCAATCAGGTGTGAACAGACAGTGAAGTCCATTTAAACCCAGCCATTCATAGAGCAGAGCAGCTCTGTCCAGGTCTGCTCTGCATATACTGAGCGGACATAGACCTGTCATCCACCCTGCTCTGATGAGCATGAGATCAGCGGAGAGATCCCCTGCTGATCGAATCGGAGTCCACCTTGTGTGACTGAGGCATGAGAATGAGTCTAGTTGTAGCTTAGCTGCACCTCCAATATTGCACGACCTTGCAGATTCAGAGTGCCTGAAAACTGACAAAAAGGTGGGATTGAGCAGCGGAAGAATGAGTGTTACATCAAATGTTTGCTTTAATGTTACAGGCACAAATCAGGTGCATTCATCATTCAATAAGGCTTGGTTCACACTGGAAGCGATTTAAAATCCCACGTTTTGTTTGCGATTTCACCACATTTTCTGAAGATTTGTTTGAGATTTCCCAACGATTTCTTGCATTTTCCACTGAGATTTGCAGTGCGTTTTCCATTGTAGTCTATATGTGAAATCGCAACAAACTGCAGAAAAAGTAATACAAGAACTACTTTTGAAGTTGCGCTGCAACAAACCGCGTATGATAAGACACTCACATTCATTGGATCTGATTTCAATTTCCAAATCACCCTGAAATCACGGCAGTGTACACCAGGGCTAAAACACGCTAGTGTACCGTTTATCTTTATTGTTGCTGCAGATAAATGACCTCTAAAAGTGAAATAGCTGTTTGTCTGTGTTCATGTGCAAAGTGAATCTGTACGGAGTGATTTTTTTTAATTATCGAACAACTCCTACACCTGCAGGGCTCTAATAAGGAAACTGACAGGGTCTACATCCCTTTAGACGTGATTTCCCATAGAGAGTATCTCATAAAAATGACCTTGGTGTTGCAGGGGATGCCAAAAATCGGACTTGTATCTTGGTGCAGACTTCTGGGAAAAACTAAGCCTGCTCTCCTCCAATGATCAGACTTGTACTCGCACATTTACGCGCCCCCCCCGCACAGCCATTCACTGGGAAGTACAGTTGGCTGCGGTTTCTCCCCCCCCACCTCCTTATGTAGCTAAGAACAGAGGGAACGTGATCACTTATTAAAAATAAAAAGGGAAAGAAAGGTAGTTATGTATTTTATATCTATACACAAATGTTTTTACCTGTCATTTCCATTTTAGACTGTAAGGGTTGTATTACAAGGTGAGGGTTAACATATACTTTAAAAAACAATACGGACGCAATGCCGACTAAATGAAAAAGCAGCCTGATTATTATTATTATACAGGATTTATATCGCGCCAACAGTTTGCTCAGCGCTTTACACTATAACGGGAGATAATACAGCAACAATACAGTTCAATACAAGAGGGATAGGAGGGCCCTGATCCTGGGAGCTTACAATCTAAGATTAAGACATACATGCCTATGGCAGGGACAAAAGCTTGAATTGGTGACCGATGCCCCACAGTTCTAGTCCTGAATGGTCACACTTCTATGCAAGCTTTCACTTGTTTGCAAACTCTGAAATCACAGCCCCTCTTCCCTGTAAAAAAAAACAGATGGTGTCCCCAGTGTTCCGCAATGAGCGTCGGGCAGCCGAGGAAATTGATTTTTGACAGAGAGCCCCCATAAGTCTGGAGATCAGTTTACCTTCAGGTTGTTTGGTGAACAGTAATCGCGGCTGTGAAATATTAGCTGGCTAAATGCCTTCCGTCCAATCTACAAAACATTACGTACATTGTATAAGGGATTCCAGGCAAATATAAAAAGGTAAGCAAGGCAGTCTTTACTGCCCCGGAGACTTTGAGAGATTTCATCCTTCGATCATAAGCAGGTCCATCCCAAGGTGTGTGAGCCGGCACCATGAAAACAGGAGCGTGTAAACAGCCCGCGCTGTCATTTATTTTTACATCCTAAACACACTGCAATGCAGAGATAGTGGAAGGAAGATTGCTGCAGTCACATCACAGAATGGATTTCTAGTAACCAGCCGGGCTGGAGCCAACGTCACACTGACACCTCCACAAAGAACAGAGCAGAGCAGTGCCTGCTCAATGATACTTTATAATCAAGAGTCCGTATGGAAGAGGAGCAGGCTTCAGATTTCTCATCCCGTTTATAGGGGATCTTGAAGGACGATGTCACAGAGGAGGAGAGATTAACCTCCCTAGCGGTCTGATTATGTCCATATTTCTGTGCTCAAAGCGGTACATTTTTTTGCATGGAAATATATAGTTTTTTTTTATTGTAGGCCTGTAATTTTTAGGAATAACTCAGTGAAATCTGTCCGAACAAGAGTCTAGTAAACATCCCGGAGATGATAAAATTTGAAACACGAAATCATAAATTATAATATAATAATCATCAAAAAAATAATAATATAATAATAATAAATTTAATTCAATAATATAATCAAACCAAAAACACTGAAATGTGAAATATAGCGCCAAGTTCGCACATCACTGAGCAAAGTCGCAGAATCGTTTTCAGTGTCTGATGATGAATTTCCCCCACGAATCATTATCACTCAATTCTGCAAGTGGTTCTGATTTACTATCGCTGTTCTCTAGCCGGTCTAAAACCGATTTTGACCTAAAGGGACGCTTTTTGGACGCCATGGACATTTCTCAGTTTCCAGGCAGAAAGAACGGTACAAATGCAGGCAGGGCGCAGGACAAAGCACTCGGGACAAAATGTATGTGAAATGGTTTGATACAGCAATGTTTTACTATGTGATTTTAGTGTATTGAGTGAATGTCACTTTTGGTCATTTTCAAATTTCCTGCCGTTCTGTCCCTGTACATCCCGACGCTTGCAGGGGACGGAACCTAGATGACAGATGCCGGCATCCGCCGGATTACATGGCCGGGGGGACACTGCAGGAGGGACATCGCGGGAGCGCAGGACAAGGTAAGTGAAGAACAGATGCCGGAGCAGCGCTGCATGGTAAGCCCGAGTGTAGCTCGGGGTTACCGCTTTTGGTACTGAAACTTTACCCCGAGCTACACTCCGGAATACCGCCAGGGGGGTTAAAGATAAATGGAATCTCCAATGTGAAAAAATTTAAACTTTTCACCTTCAAATATCTATGGCCGTTCTTTACCATTAGGGCTTATTGCACAGTGGCGCAAAAAACACTGCGCTCAGATTTTCAAAGCTCCGTTTTTTTTTTTGTTTTTTTTAACGGATCTGAATGCAGAAGTATTGTACGAGGGGCGTCCAAGTCGGGACTTTTCATTTTACAGGCATAAAAAGGGATGCTAGCATGGTGGCAGTAAACGCAGTAGTAAGCGGCAAGTGTGTCCTATTACTGATAGGTGCAGCACATGTCGCAGGCCAGTCCAGACACCGTTAATAAAGATGGCAGACAACAGTGTTTGTGCGTGCGTGGAACAGCGTGTGGTGATGACGTTTCTTGTGAACGAAGGCGAAAACGTGTTGTTATCTACTTCAAGCACAGTACGGTGGTGAGACGCTCAGCCGCAGTAACACATTTGAATGGTGTGAACATTTTAAAGATGGCCGTACGTCTGTCAGTGACGACCAAATATTTGCTTGAATAAGGTGCAGGTGGTTCTTAAAGTGGAACTTTACCCATAACAACTTGATAAAAAAGAATTATGTTCTTTAGCAAGGAACATACCTTCCACATTAATAATTATGCTACCAAAATCAGTGTGCTGTAATATGCCTTCAGGATTGTTCATGTTTCTTCTTGCTGGAAGCTGCCATTTTGCTGAAGCCCAGGGCCCCTGAGCAGCAGTAAATCTTTAGGCTGCCAGCAGATCAGCTTCTACATTTTCAGCACAGTGCCTTAAAATATGGAGCACCTGAGCATGTGCAGAGCAGGGTGAGACAGTGTATTACTGGATTTTAAACAGTATAGGCACTCATTTTTAATGTTTTACATAGCTACTATATACCTGAAAAAGGGGCCAGTCTGAAGGGATCTAGCAGAACTAATTTTCTGGTGCCTGTCATGATTATTAGCGGATTCAATTAAGAGGGCTGGAGACAAGAGAGAGCCCCCAAAAACCAATCACTATTCGTGTGAATGAAATGACACCATAACACAAACCACCCTGCTGGCCGGTTAAGGTTGGAGGGGGTACAGGTGCAGAGTCACAATTGAAATGACTGCCTGCTGGTTAGCATCTGTGAAAAAATTACTTGTGTCTGCAAAGCTGTGCAGAGAAGGAAATGGGCAACGTACTGTTCAGTGCAAAGTAAGGTGTGCGGCCTGGTTCACGCCAATGCGTTTTTAGTGTGTTTTGCTTTTTGCATAAATGAACTACAGTCCATTTAGCATGGTTTCCTATGGGACACATTCACATCTATGCTTTTTTGAGCTGCTGCATCTTTGGGAAAGGTCAGGGACTTTTAAAATGCAAAACGTTGCCTTTTTGGTTCAATAGACTTCAAAAGAGATGCTGCAGAAAAAACACATGTAGTCCGTTTTTACATGTTTCTTGTTTTTTTTTCTGCCCAGCAACAAGTCCCCCCTCCCCCCCCCCCCCCCAAAAAAAATAAAATGTAAAGACACATAAAAAAGGCCAAAACGTAAACTGCATTGGTGTAAAGCAGGCCTTAACCCTTTGAGGACCATAAGATTACGGAACGCCAAAAGAATCAATTTTTTGTTTTTAAAGTTTGTACACTTCAGTTGCTGTAACTAAGCCATTTCATGAAATAATTGGCAAAAAGCTAGATCCATTTGTTGATAAGAACTAATATTTTGAGTCAAACCAAAAAAAAAAAAAAAAAAAAAAAAAAAAAAAAAGGATTTTAAGTTCTTAATCAGATGATACAGGCAATTAAAAACATGGGAAAAATACGTCCTTTGGTGCCTGTTAAGAGGCTAGCAGTGCCTCACCTGCCTTAGTCTAGGCTCAAAAGGCCTGCATCCCCTGATTAGGTTTTAAAGTGGAAGCAAACCGCAACCTTTAAAAAAACAAAACAAAAAAAAAAAAAAAACAAAAAAAAAAAAACATGACTACTAGCACATTATGTAAAAAAACTTACCTTAAAACGAAGCCCTCCAGTGGCGCGCTGTCACCGCTGACAGGACTTCCATCTTTACTTGCAGGCTCTAGCAGCTTGAATAGCTGAGCCGCGATGACGTCACTCCCACACATGCACGCACTTTTTATGGCACACGGGCTCAAAAGGAACGGCACGAGCATGCCATTCCTTCAAAGAGCATGCACTGGTGACTTTTACAAGTAAATATCTCCTAAACGACGCATGTTTAGCAGATATTTACAGTACCTACAGCTACGCCACCTTATAGGCTTACCTATTGTACCTATAGTGAAAAAAAAAAAAACGACTTTACTACCACTTTATAAGGATAAGTTCACCTTTTGTAACATGTTACACCCATATTCAGGGTGTAACATGTAGCTCCTTAAAAAAGCACTGGTGAAAGTAAAGGAAAGCCCAAATTATGGGCTGTCCCCATAAAAGTAAGAGGGGAACTCTTCCAATTGGGACACTAGTTCTGGTGACCTGGGGGTCCCCCCAAAGGGATTTTCTGAATTTGCGGGGATTTCCCCTCACTTGCTGTTTGGCTATAAGACAGAAAGCGAAGGGAAATATCTGAAATGGGACAAAAAAAAACCCTCCTGTACTCCAAAATGAAAAAAAAAGTTTTACCTATAGTTTTGCTTTAATGATTTTTTTTTTTTTTTAAAGGATCCAAGGCAGAAAGCTGTGAGATATACAGAAGTCTGTTGGCTCTCCCACCAAACTCAGAGCAAAGAGCAGCAGAGACACTCAGTGATGTGAATGAGACTCAGAAGTATTTTTTGAAAAACAAATAATTGGATTAAAAAATTGTTAATTGCACGTTGATCAGCAAGGAAGGGAGCACGGGGCGGTATTGTATGCACACACTATGCTTCAGCTTTAAAGCCCCCCCCCCACCGCAGTATTACCAGACAAGTGCAATGTTCACTCCTCTGAAACCTCCAGTCCTTATTTCTTTCAGCCGTTAGTTGTATTGGGTCGGCCAGCATGTGTTCCGCAGTACAATCATTGCATATATTTATATGTGTACAACTCTCAATTACTATTAATCAATCTTTAAAGTTCCATCTATTCTATGGTTTGTAATCAGCAGCAATCTTACGGGAGACTAAGATGGATGAATTTACTAACATACATAATCATGGCTTCAACGGGGTAAGACTATTAGAAGAATCTTCCCTCCTGGTACGCTATGCTAGAGAATGTAATCTTGCTTCTAATTAATCACTTTCTTCATTTGCTGGTACTTTATTCCCTCTAATCATTGTGTTAATGTGAATTATATACAGCCATTTGTATGAGACTTTTGTTTTAATTTATCAAATCTCTTTGCTCTTTAAACTGCTCTTTGTGTGATCTTCTTACATATAATAATACAGTGCTGCACTTCTCCCACTGACACCATCCAGCACATAATTAAGCTTCCCTTTGCAGTTCTGCAGTGAGTCTCTGGCAGACTTCTTATGGCCGAAGTAAAACCCCGGTTCACATATATGCGGCCGTGCAGGCAGCGTTTTGCACGGGCGCGAGAGCCCATTCATTTGAATGGACTCCCGTGCCAAGCAGGGAAGAAGTCCCTGCACTTCTCCTGAAATTGCAGTCCGCACGGGAACTTCAGTTCCCAGTACGGTTGCGTTTTCCAGTGCTGGTGGCGTGCCATTAGAACTAATGGCCCCCATTTCCGCATTTCTCTGTAGACGGATACACGGATCCACACCGGCATCACCCGCACAGTGCGTGTCGGTCCACAAGTGGTTGCAAAAGCGGGTTTTAGCTCAGGTATTGTCTAACAGTAGGGATGCATCGAAATTTTGGTGGTCGAAAACACCCCTTACGGCCCTTGACCGATATGGAAAAAAAAGCACCGATACAGGTGCTGAAAAAACCCCGCCCCTAGCCGCCGCTTGGTAGTTCTCAGCCTTATCTGAGAAACCATTGAATGATTCCAGCACTGGGCATACACATTAGTGAAGGAAAGATGGCCTCCACTCATCTCTATGCTCTCGGAGGTCCTTTAGACCCCATCTCTCTCCATAAAGAGGACCTGTCACTAATTATTTGTATCACAATGGATGCATGTATTTCTTGTGATAAGAATAAAAGTGATTAAACATTTTTTTTTTTTTTTGTTCTGTCCTTCAAAAAAATTTTTTAAAGTGCCCCTGTCCCCCCGTCCTCGCACATAGTGGTGACCGCATACGTAGGCCATGCCCACATATGTAAATGGTGTTCAAACCACACACGTGAGGTATCGCCACGAACGTCAGAGCAAGAGCAATCACTCTCGCACTAGATCTCCTCTGTAAACTTACACTGCTAACCTGTATACATTTTTAAAACATCACCCATGGAGATTTTTTACAGATTTTGGTGAGAAGGTCAGGGGTCTGACGCCGAGATCGTCACACAGATCACTGACTCGGTTCATTTATAACTGAGGCTGTTAGGGATCCGAGTATGACCAGAAATGTGTGGACTGACACAGGGAAACGCAGACTTCAGGTATAGTGTGAATAAGACAATTTATTAAGACTAAACAAAACAAAAACGCAGTGCAAGACTAAACAAAAACACAGTGCAAACAAACCAACCCAAACCTCCAACAGATAACAATAGAAACAATACTAAGCGTAGTCGGGCAGGCTGGGTCGGTAGCAAACGGGCAGGCAGGGCACAAGGAGCAGGCGGAAGAGTAGTCAGGAATAGCCGAGGTCAGGACAGGCGGAGTTCATGCAGAGTCAGGGATCGAAGCAGAATCTGGATCAGGCAGGAAGCAGGCAGGATGCAGGTACAGGGGCTCATGGGAAACATACACCAAGGCCCTGATCACAGGCCTGGCCATTCCTTAAATACACCTGTTGTAATCAGCTTCAGGTGATGGCTCATTGCAGGAGTGAGCCTCTGGTTGCTGAGAGCACCGGCTGGCCAGCCCTGGTACTGCAGCCCACAAGGCAGGTGAGTC